TTTTCTTTGTAATGGCTCTCGTTTCTATAAGAACGCGTACAAAGTGTTTATTTTTTGAAAATATTTCAAATGAGGGTGTTGGTGTAAAAATGTTTTGTTGTGAGCAAGCGAGCAACTAGGAGCGAATCTACCTACTCAAAAGGTCTTATATGTTCTTTTCCTCCTCCTTTAGGCGTTGCTATCTTACCATTGTTTTGGTAAGAAACCCCATCGTTGGATGTGAAGGGATGGGCGCAGGATGTTTTTGTATAGTCATAGAAGGCAACCCATGGAACATTTTAGAAATGTCGTGTGAGGGACTAGATCGTTTATCGAAGGCAACATCGAGGGTCATCGAGGGACTACGATCTTTTATCGATGGTCTTTTGCTAAAACACCCATATTCGAGGGACATGACTATTTTTTCGATAGGCCACAAAGTGGGATTACCCTAAGGGTGCTAGTGTGCAAGTGTGTTTGATTTACATGCATTTAGTCTTGATTAGGGTTATCTATTTGTTGGTTTCATGTCTTGCCATACACGCCCTAATTACTAGCATTTATATTTGAAAAGCGATAAATTGCGGGAATATAAAGTCCTACGCTATTACAATATTTTAGGGATGGGAGTACATATTTACAAATGGAGATTGCAAATAAAATTAAATCATAAGTTACTATTACAACCATATTGAAATGTACAATACAAGAGAGAAAAAGGATTTATTTAAAAAATGGTTTTTTGTCTTAATGAATTAAGAAAAAAGAAATATATTAATTAATAAAAGAAAATATTTTTGTGTTTTTTTTATATTAATAAAAAGGGAATTAATATTAAAAAGATAAAAAGGAAAATAAATGAAAGATAGAAACAGCGTGCTACTGCAAGCGAAATAACAAGGATCCGAAGTTCTGAAGCCAAGCGCATGGTGACTCAGACAGGAACGTCAGTGAAATCAGAAGTTTTGGATTGGTACACTCTGAGGTCCTACAAGACACGTTAGAGGGAAAACACAAAAGTTTTGGGTTGCTATGTGCTGAACTTCTGAGTGTTAGAATAATGAGCAAATCTTAGAAGTTTTGTATATTAAAACAGTGAAGAGAACTCAGAGGTTCAGTATGTGCTAATACGGTGAGTGAACATCAGAAGTTCAGTGTACATTATCAACGAGTGAATATCAGAAGTTCAGTGTGTTTAAACAGTGAGGAGAACTCAGAAGTTCTGTGTTATGCTAAAACTGTGAGTCAACATCAGAAGTTCTATGCCACATTTCAACTCTTAATCAGCAGATCAGCAGTTTATTGAGTTCTTAATAAACAGCAAATCAGAAGGATAACAACACAACAGTTTATAGAAGTTCTAATCTTAAATCTGAGTCTAGCCTTAATCAAGAAGTTTTGATCCGCAGTTTTTCTACTTATGCAATAATATGGACAAAATTAGTTGTGATATTTACATATTAATGATGTTCTGAGTGAAAAAGATGCAAAGTCGGAAAGACTTACCTTGAATCTGGAGTGTGTGCTTGGAGCTTTGAGCTTCTTCCTTCAGATGTTCTGGTGTCAGCGAGAGTAACAGAATAGTGGTTATGTTCTTTGATTCAAATGGAAGAACCAAGGTTTTGTTTAGGATTTGCGAAGGTTTTCACTATTTTCTTTTCTCTCGTTTGATGATTCTCCCTCTTTCCAAAAGCCACCCCCTTGAAAGTGTGATGGAGCAACTTATTTATAGGTGAATTTGTTGTGGTTTTAGGGGAAAAACAAATGGGATTTAAACTTTTTGGCACATTGTTCCATTGCTTTTTTATCACAGTTTTTTGTATTTGGTGCAAATACAGGATTTGGGAAAATGCAGGTGTGGATTGGATTAACTGTTGGTTAGAGTATTGTGTTGTAGCAGTGCAGTGGGTTGTTTAAACGAGATCTTGGGATTTGGTAATATTTTGATTGCAAAAGATCAGAAACGTAACCTCCAAATGCTGAAGGGTCATGTTCTGACCGAAGAACATTGCTTCCATATGTTCTGATTGAAGCATCATATTCTGAACCGTGTCTGCAAATTCTGACTGCACTTGCGTAAAGGCTGGCTCAGAAGTTGTGAAGTATCATATTCTCTTGACACTTAGAAAATTTTCTAAATGTTTAGAAATTTGATTTTTTCAAAGTAACTTCTGACTTCTGATTTTTGATGAACCAATTTCATGTCTTGATGAAATATAATTGTTGAAACTTGATTTTTGATCTAAAAGTCCAAGTTTGACTTTTCAATGTGCTTTTGACCATTTTTTCCTTGTGCATAATTTTCTTGAAAAGTTATAATTCAAGACTTGAAACTTGATAGAAGCAAGCCTGAGAGTCCAGGATAATCTTTTGAGAAATGAGAGGGAAAATTTTGGGATACAACACAAGCCCTAGAGATTTATAAACAAAGCCTAAAATTAGCTCGTTGAGCCAAATATTTCTCCCCTCATGGATCTGGGTAGCTAAATCTATAAATTTCTTGGCCATCAGCATAGAACTAGAACTAAAGACAAAGTGAGATAACCAAAGAGTAAGGAAAGTGATGTGTTCATAGTCAGACACTTCTTCATGGTGGTCTTCATGTTGGTCCTTGATGTAATTGTTGAAGCTTGCACGAGTAAAAGTAAAATTGAGTTTAATTTTACTTTTGAGAGTAGGGTCGAAGGTATCTCCGGTTGGTCGAAGGCCAATGATAGCAGTCACGTCAAAGAGGGTGGGAGTTATCATTCCACAATGGAGGTGAAAGGTGTTAGTTGAATCTTCTCAAAAGTAAATGGATGAGATGGACATGTTGGGGTTGTACTTGGGGCCTATTTTAAACAATTGAATCAAGTCATATATACCTTGATTTTTCCATAATTATTCTTTCTTATTTTCTACTTTATCCAGCCAATTAATGTAAGATACTTTATTGACGGTGTGGGAAGAACGGAAGACGCGTTGGGGTGAACTTATAAAACCTAACTCATATATTGTGTCTTCAAAAGCACGGGGTTTGAAACGGCATAACAAGGGAAATTTTTCTTTAGCTTATTAGATTTTTCAGAGGAACTGGGAAATGGACCCCAAGAACGCATGGACATTACCTGAGATAGAAAAATAATTAGTACATGGGAAGCCCGAGTGATGGATTTTTTCTTTCTCCAATGGTGATTCTGGATATATATATATATATATATATATATATATATATATATATATATATATATATATATATATATATATATATATATATATATATATATATATATATATATATATATATATATATATATATATATATATATATATATATATATATATGCGATTGCCAAGGAGAGTAAGAGCAGTGACATCAGTAGTGAACGGAATTGAAAGTTGTTTCAACGAAATAGAGGAGGAAGTCATTGTTCTCAAATTTGAAAAAGAAACTAAAGATGATGATTGAAAAAGATAAGAGTTCATAGGACTCTAAGAAGAAGAAGTAGCAAAAGAGAAAAAAAATAGAAGAGAAGGAGGTGCATATATAAAAGTGGAAGAAAAATTTTTAGTTTTCCTCTAAAAATCTAGACAAGTGGCATTTTGATTTTTAGAGTAAAACTAAATTAAATGATTTTCTTTAATTGTGAGTTAATACTATGGCCCATGATGGCCTAGAAAGTCAGAATCATGATGGATGAGAACATGCTCGTTCATTGACGTGAGAGTTTGGTAAAAGTGATCATGATGACGATGACGTATGCTGACCACTATGAACAGAGTTGAGAGATTTACTAAAACGTCATCTTTCTTCCATGCTGCAAACATGATTTAAAGTGGCATTTTTTGGAGGGCTTCAGTTAGCTTATGGTTTTCGACACTGCATTGAAACTCACTAAACCTGATTTGAAAGAATCTCATGAACAAATCTACAAGATTAAGATCACTCTCTATTCAAGACATTCATAATCTTGAAAAGTTTTTGTACTGAGTTAACATTTCAACATGAAAGTATGGTATAAAGGTGGTGAGTTCAACTCACCTATTAGAATTTAGGACTTAGTATATTCTGGAGTCTAGAGATTAGGTGATCTAGAGACATTTCGACACTACAATACAAGATTCGACAGAAAAGCTCTTCGACAAAGGTAGTTAGAGGCTATAAAAACATTTTCAATAATAAACAACAATTTAGAGGTAGTTCAAAGAAAAACATGTGAAAACGCATCAGAAGATAGAAACTCATGTAATAGAATATGTGTCGAGTTTTGGGATACTAATTGTTATCAATGGTTATTGATGTATTTAATATATAAATCGATTTTAATCGTGTGATAAAGGTTCGTAAATTTTACTTGTATTCTCTATAGAACTCGAGTATCCAAATCATAGAGAAAGAAAAGTTTGTGAAAAACATGTATGAGTCTGCGTTCCTTTTCTAATTCTTTAATCAAAGCATTTATTTCTTTACTTCTATTGTCTTCTTTATTTACTTTATCTCTTCAAACAATTCTACCTTGTTCGAATTTGAACTTCTAGCCAATTTTCTACATTCAAACATCAAATACCCAAACGTAAACACAAATATGTTTCAACAAACTTTCAACACAAATTGTCTGTAAGATTGTCTTTATTTCATTTCATTAAGTGAATTAAAATTTGTGATTTGATTTAGTGAAAACACCAACAAACAGTTGGCAACAAAGGCACTTGGTGATGGAGAAAAATTGGTTACATTCCTTGAAAGAACAGGAGGTCTCATCCACGCATTAGGATTATAGGAGGCAAAACCAACACCAGAGGTGGACCATGAGCCTTGATTGAACCTGTGCCAACAAGCTAGAGCTATATGACCAAACTTGAAGCAGACTTGACACTGAACATTGGAGTCAGAAAAACAAACTTTGATTGAACCTGTGCCAACAAGCTAGAGCTATATGACCAAACTTGAAGCAGACTTGACACTGAACATTGGAGTCAGAAAAACAAACTCTACCTCTACCAATTCGACCACTACTAGCACCTCTGTGACCACCTAGAAACTAAAGCACATCTTGATCCATATGAGGATTAGAAGGTTTAGTGGATGAGGATTCAACACTAGTAAACTGCACATCCTCAGAATTGGCAGGAGTTGGTGAAGCATGAGTTAGGTTGAGAGAAATTAGATATGTGGTGTAGATTTTTTTAACTTGTCCAAATGAAAGCTCATGAGCTAGCAGAAGAATCTCTACTTCATCCAGATTCATAGAACCAAGTTTGTTTTCAACTATAAAAACTAGTGGTGGAAACTCAACTGAAAAGCCTTCCAGAACCACGTCTAAGTGATGAGAAGCAGGAATCGCATCAACAAAAGACGCGAGAGAATCAACAATGTTACGAATCTTAAGAAGATACTCTTAGACAGAAGAATTATCACGAGTTTGCTTTTAGAAATAACCGAATAAATAGTCCCAGAGTTGTTGCGAATATCCGAACACACGCGAGAAAATCTCAGTGAAAAGTGTGCATTCAAACCATGAAAGAAGCATTTGATCTTTTTGAAGCCAGCAAAAATATTCAGAATTGACATTACCAACTGTGCAGTCAACAAATTTAGTGAAATTATGTGCATTAATATACGGTTCAACCTGTTGACACCATAGATGAAAGTTTTTCTAGTCAAATCTTTGTGCGACCTTAAGCGAGAAGTGGAGATGACTTGAATCCTCTACAGAATTCGGGGTCGCGAGTGACAGAGAAGTAAAAATGTCAGCGAAAGCCACCAGCGATTGCATCGGTTGCGGTGTCACATCCATGGAAACGACCTAGATAGCAACCTAGCAAACTGATACCGTGTTAGAATCAGTAGATAGAATTGGGATTTTCTTCTTGAGTCTCTAACTAACTTTTGATTTCTGAAATGTTAGTTACAAAATTGGGATTTTGTTTTGCTTTTATACTTGGCAAAACATATGACCCGTTGACCTATTACAGCAGGTTCCTTTTTACTCAAGCTGACAAGTATCAGTCTTGAGAGCTATGCATTTGCTAAACCAAGTATAACTAGTGTTCTCTAATAGCTTATCACCAACCATTATATAGAAATAGATACAATTAACTTTCAGGAAAAGTATATATTGCAACATGTACAAATCTATCGAATATAGTTTTTTTAAGTGGTTACTAAAGGTAGACATGTCACAAGTCGTAATTAACAACAACAACTGCTTTTGCCAAAGCCTTGAGGACCTCTGGTTTTTGGTTCACACAATTATATTGCATGTGCATATAGTTTCACAGCTTCCCTCCTCCCAGATTCTCGTGTAGCAGTTTTCACATGAGAGATTAGCTCTCCATAATTATCCCATTATCGCCGTCGTCTGTGGAATCTTCAGGGGATGTCGTCTTTGGGAAGAATTCTTCATTGGGGTACATTTGACTAAATAGCTGCAAGAGTACCACCCACAAACTAGTAGCATTAGTGACTTGGTAATTATGGGTACTTATCCATTAATAATCATAACTTGTTTTTGGTTTTTACACGTTCATCGTATCAAAGTAAATGCTTGAGAGAACAAATATTTTGTCAAGCCATTTCCCTATTTCATGAGCAAAAATTGCAAGCAATTTAACAAGCTACTTTTTTTCTTTTCTTTTCCAAATGCATTCTTAGTGGTATTTTTCATATACGTGAGGATCGGGATATTCAAGACCAAACTCAAGACAACAAACTTAAAAGACAGTATCTAGCTATTGATTAACACCTAAGAGTAACAACCACTCATATAGACACACAGTGAAAAGTTAACAGAAGAATGATGAGAGCATACCTTCTCAGTTGCATCTACAAGGTCATTGTAATTTAGATTTCCATCTGGTGTTGGAGTGGAACTGATAGCTTCAAATTCACTCTGAAATAGAAATAAATACTTCTATTATGAAGGATGCCCATATCAATGTTACATGTGTCTGAATCACATCTTTCCTGAAAAAATTCTTAAGACACTGCCTAATTCATGTAAAATATCTCATTGTTCGGGGTAATAATAAAAACAGAAGGTGTTCACATGAGTCAAAGCTCATGTGTTCAGCAAAGGAAATGATGCAAGGAACAAGTGCACATGTAATATGAGGGTAAAAAATACACATCATAGAATAAAGAAATTTGTGAACAAGCCAGGACTAGAAGCACACCGTAGTTAATTTTTGAACATAAATTGCACTCCAGAGCACAACGGCTTTTTTATCTTCACTGTCACTTTGAACAATGGAAGTACTTTCTGTGTTTCCAGATATAGGCAATGTAAGAAGAGCCTTCATGGATGCTTTTAGTAACTTCTTTCCTTCATCGGCATCATTGCACAAAGTGGAAAAATATAAAACAAAGCTGAAAAATAGAAGGAAAATATGGTCAGTTTAGTTTAAAAGTTAACGGCAGGGAAAATATAAGTGTTATTGTTAGGTATTAAACATGAACATAGTAATGTAAAAGAGTATAATTATAAATGCCAACCATGGGGGAAACTGTTACTTTCTTTCAGTCTAGGAATTTGCAACTAAAACCAATACCAACAAAAATATGAATGACAGCTAAATATTTTTAAATGTTAGTTCCCAGGAGTACATTGACCACGCCAATCTGGTTCACTCTCACTGGCCTATTGGGTGTGTTTATTCATATTTCCTAGTTCATGTTTTCAGCTATGCTAGGAGCTATGCGTTGGAGACTTAGTACCACATCATATGTCTCCTTTACAAATGGGCTCACATTGGATTTTGGATGATATGGAGTTGTGTGCTCGCCTGCTAGGTTCATTCACTTCATTGCCCAATTGAGTTCACTGCAATCTTGCAACAATGAGTTTAATTGTGTTCTTCAATTTGAGGGTTCATTTGTGCTGGGAGCTATGAGGTTGAGACTAAAATACAACATTTTATACTACAAAGCATTATCATTCAGCTGTTTCAATTTGGATTTTTCAAAAACATCTTAACAACCTGAACTCGGTTACTATTTACCAATACTAAAGGTTTACCCTTCTCAGTTCTTAGAATAGGCATAACTTGTAAAAACATCCTCTAGAGATGTAAAGCTCCTCGCTGATTTCTTTGGTCCTTCAGTTTTCTATGTGAAATACATTTTCCTCTGTCGAATGTTGGATGCATTTTCTTTTTATAAAATAAAAGCACAAAGGGCTTTTGAGATGGGGTTTGGCTGCAGTATTGAGTTGTGTTCCTTTGTTTAAACAGGGCTTTGGAGGTTCACTCATGGACTGAAGTTAACTAATCTCAGCTACTCCCTCCGTTTCAAAATGACTCACGTTTTAGCAAAAAAAATTGTTTCAAAATGATAGTCGTTCTCACTTTTCAATGTAGTAATGACTACTATTTTTCTAATTGTGTCATTTACTTTTTACAATCTACACTACTTCCAATACATTGATATGGTTAATTTCGTAAAAGTGTAATGTCTTGTGACAATATCATTGCATTTCTTAATTTGTGTGCAAAAATCTTAAACGACATTCATTTTGAAACGGAGGAAGTAATATATTATATGTAGAATCTGATCCAATGGTAGCCCGTTAAATCGTTTCCATCATTGTTAGCCTTTGGTTATTGAGATTTGGCGTTTTGAAATCTAAGACATGAATGTAAAGGGATTGTAATGTTTTGTGTGCAATAAGGTGCTTCAGATAAATCCTTTATCTTTTCTTTCTAAAGGATGGACTTTTATGTTCCAAAACGTTAACACCATTGACTTTTTTTTAAATTTTCATTGCATTCCATTAAAAAATTTAACATGTGTCAGTTAAGACTCTGTTTGTGTTTGAAAACCCAGAAAATCCAAAACCAACAAATGAAACCATGGATGCAAGTTACTCTCAAATATGACAGTTTCCTAAACTAAGACTAATTGCATCAAACAGATAGAGGGGAAAATTGTAGTGTTTCTGAGGTTGAAGAAGCATAAGACAGGAGTCCTTATGTTCGTACCAATATTTGCTAGGAGTTCAACAAATGCCATTGTGTTTTTAGAAAACTCTAATTGAGAAAGAAAAGAAATCCCAATTTCCCCTTGAAGAGGAACCATTTATATGTTTTGAAGGGAACCACCATTTATGACTTATGAAGATGATCAGATTTGGGTTTTGAGGCCGAATCATTTATATGTTTTGAAGGGGACCATTTATGGCTTTTGAAGAGGTGTCAATGAGGGCAATTTTTGGTTTTCAAAGAAGAACCAGTTATGTTGTTAAGGCCAAAAAAAAAAATCCAAATCTGAATTTCTAAAAAGAACACTGTTCTGGGTTGATGGTTATGTAGTATGGACATTGTTCTGACTTTTATGTTAATATAGAGTAACAAAATCTGAAAAATAAAGGACCAACTTGGGGGGGAAAATAAAAAAGAAAAGAAAGGGGGTAAAGAGAATATAAAATAGGAGCATTTCAATTTTAATTTAGTGAAATAACTTACGTGCCCACAGGACAAACAGTGAGATTTGATCCTATCTGAAGAGCTCTGACTGATGTAAGCTGATCAGGATATAGAGCTAGAGAAAGGGAGGTAAAAAGTCAATTTCTTTCTAATATTTAATATGCCCCTAATTAACAAAATGAAGAGATTTAATCTGTCTCACATCTAGGAGGATACACCACAGAGCAATTTGACACATCTGGCTTTATGGAACTCCTTGTGATGCATATTCCCCTTGCCACCATTCCTTTAGGAGATAACGGCTGTGTTGATGGAGTTGTGAAGGATGGATCTAAGATTAGCTGATGACTATATAAATCCTGACCCGAAGCTAATCTAACACCTTTATACGACTCAGTAACCTGCAATATTCGTTTAAACATGAAAAAGGTGAAATTGCTTTGCAATTGGGAATATTTAACATTTCAACCTAGTCTCTTCTCAAACGTGTTATATTATATCATTACTAGCATGTCAAAGAATTGTTTCTGTACCTTATCCATAAGCAGAGAAATAACCGGCATCCGGAGAACCTGATTCACAAACCTTTAAGATGTAAATAAGCATATGTGTAGAATAAAACCACAATATGCAAGATTTAAGAGAATGGAATTAAGACATTCATAAATTTTCTGAAAAAGATTCATAAATCTTTTAAAACTTACATAAATGCAACCTTTGACAGCAGCACGACGACAAAAAGCTTGTGGTAGTTCTCCTTCACCATAAATAGGGTAAATCAAAGGCCCCGGTGCACTGGGAAACCTGGAAGAACGAAGTTAAGCAATTTTATAAATTATTGATTATTGATAGGGATCCCTTATAAATCAAGGCAAATGTAACACATGAAATCAAACAAGGTGAATAAGAACTCACCTTCCAACAGATGAGCTGTATTGAGCTAAAAGATCTATTGCATCTTTCGTTGCAAGTAAATCTTTACAAACCTCGCCATTTTCTTGATCATAATCTACCATGGCTATAGCATACAAAAGAATCCTATTGAAGACAAAGAGGATTTACCTTAGCTTACTGACACGGGTCAACAGGTTATGCATGCAATATAAACAGTTAGGCTTAACATACTTTATTCAAAAACACCAATGAAAGATGAGACGTATAGCACTCTCTTCATAGCACAAGAATAAATATATACAACACCCCGACAGAGTATACAAGCTGGCCTACTCCCAAACATCTCAAGATTTTAAATAGTATTCCATTGGTGTAACATCACATTTGTTTGTTGGTTTGATTATGATTTTCAATGCACGGCAGAAAAAAAAATCGCTCTTATTTTCTCAATTCAATATTAACAAGGAAACATAGAAGTTACAGGGAGAAACTATCAAGCTAGAGGCCATAAATTTCAACAACGCATAGAATAATATTTACCACTGCTTGTGTCCAGGCAATTATTAAAATGACTAGTGCTAAGAGTAACATGGAATTGCAGAAACTACCATCTCCAGAACTTTACAAGTAATCATCAGATAACAAATTATTATCATCCATAAACCAAGTCAACTATGGTCTGCAAAGTTATGCAATCATCTCGAGACTAATACACTAGCATAAACATACTATAGTAATCAGATAAAACACAACCAAAAGAAATTCCTAAGCTTACGTGCGGAATTTAAACAAACAGAGTCATGTATATAACATAAAGTAAATCAATTCTCACTAGGAAATGGTAAATACGCTTTTATCTTTGGCGGCAACCCAGTTTTCTCCAAGAAACTAACAAAAGGACTCTCCATGTCTTCCTCTGAAATCTTCCCATCCTCATTATCATCCAAGTGTTGCTGAACAAGCTTAAAGAACTTCATCAATTGGTTTTTTTCCTTAAGCGAAAGCTTCTTGTCTCTAAAAATGGCTCCACGTGAATCTGGCACATTAACCAAACCCTCATTTGCGTTATACACGAGACTCGTATCGATGCCTTTGAACTCCAAGTACTGTGCAGCACCTGATTTCAACAACAGGTCGATTGTCTTGTCCGCGCTGAACAAAGCCCTAGGTCCTCCCAAATCGAGGTTGAACTTTCTCGAATTTTCTAGAAGAAACGTGGTTTCGTCGATAGAGTTGCACGAAATAAGCTCTGCGTCGGATATAAGAGGTTGATGTATGAGGTTTATGACGGCGTAGTCGGAATCATCGCTTGATGATGTGGCGACGGTGGTGGATTTGGGAGGGGAATTGAGGTAGGAGGTGATTTCTTCTAGAGAGAGGGAAGAGAAATGGCTTCCATAGAAGGAATTAGGGTCGAGGTGGAGGATGGTCTTACCTACGGCCGATGCGGCGGCGGCGATGATCGATTCGGGAAGTCCAGTACCGATGATGATGAGATCGAAGTTCACCGGGTCTATGGGAGGGTATGAAGAGGACTCTTCGGCTTCAGACATGGCAACGACGGCGCGTGGAGATTATTCGCCGTCTGTGCCGTGAAAGAAATCAAAAGAATCGGCGGCAAAGTACTGTTTGGAAATCGTTCACATTGAATTATTTTTCATTTTATAATTCTGGGGAGCGTTACTTTGGTTTATCCAATAAAAAAATGTGTTACTGGATTATTTATTTTTTTAATTGATATGACGGTTAGTTTATTTTAACTTTTTTAAATTAATATATTTAAATGATTTATGATTAGATATATTAATTGTTTAAATTTTTTAGGGATTTTATAATGTATATTATTAGTCTATCAATTGCTGCGAAGATGGTTAGTGATAAGAATATTCTGAATTCTCTTTCAATATTTGACGGTAAAAATTGGATCCATGAAATTTTAGAAGTGGTTACCGACAGCGTTCCTGTATAGGCTGCAGATGCAACCGAAGCACAGAAAATTATCCGTCACGAATTCAAGAAGAAAGATTGCAAGACTGCTTATTGCATTCAGATGGCGGTCGACGCTACTAACCTCGACATAATTTCTCATGCTGGAACGGCGAAGAAGGCATGGGATATTTTGGTGAAGTATTACGAAGGAGGTGAGAAAGTCAAGGTTATCAAGTCACAAACCTTGCGTCAACAATATGAGTTATTGTCGATGCGAGAAGACAAAAAAGTTGCAGAATATGTTTCGAAGGTTCAGAAACCCGTCCATCTCATGAAGGGTTATGGTGAAACTGTAACTGATAAGATGATAGTTGAGAAGGTAAAGAGAATGTTAACATCACACTTTGATCACGTTATCGTAGCTATACAAGAATCCATCAATCTTGAAACCCTAAAAGTGGAAGATTTGGTTGGTTTGTTAGAGGCGCATGAGATGAGGATTTTCGGGAAAAAAGGAGTTCAGGACTCGATACAGGCACTGCAAGCTCAGTCATGGAAAAGGAATGGTGGTTCCAACAAGTTTAAAGGCAATATCAACAAGACTTCGAGAAAGAAGATAAAAAAGGTGTGAGTGCTCGAAAAGAGGATGAGGAAACTATCAAAAGGACAAAGAAGATAAAAAAGGTGTGAGTGCTATAATTGTGAAAAATGGAGTCACGTAGCCAATAATTATTGGTACAAAAAAGACAAGGGGTCGACAGGCAAGGAGGAAGGAGTGAACCTTGCATGCCAATATTCAGATGATTTTGAAGGTGGTATGGTGGTTATGGTTGCAGTTGCAGATAGCCATGTCGAATTCAAGATCTGACTCCTCGACTCATGCTGCTCGAATAACATGACTAGTCGAAAGGAGTGGTGGCAGATTTTGATGAGTCGAAGAAGAGTAAGGTAAAACTTGTTGATAATAGTTTGTTGCAAGCATAAGATATTGGCAACATGGTCTTTTAAATGAGTAATGGAGGGAAAGTTATGATCAAATATGTGATTTATGTATCTGGAATGAAGTGTAACTTGCTAAGTGTTGAATAACTAGTTGAAAAAGGTACCTCAGTTGTCATGAAAGGTGGAGTTTTAAAATTGTTCGACACCAAGAACAATTTGATCTTAAAATGTCCTCTGACGAAGAACGTGACATTTAAGACTATGATCAGTTCGACTGTACAATGTCTAAAAACTATTGCCGACCACAAGGATAGTTGGTTGTGGCATTTGAGGTTTGTACATTTGAACTTTCGATCACTCAATTAGCTGATTACTCAAGATATGGTATCTGGTATCCCAAGTATTGAGATGCCCGAGAAATTTTGTGAAGCTTGTTTAGTCAAAAAGCAATCCATAAACTTTTTTGTTTCGACTATACCAATGAGATCATCATGCATACTTGAAGTAGTATATTTATATGTATGTGGTCCATTAGAAGAATATACAGTTGGTGGAAACATATATTATGTTTCATTTTTTGATGAGTTCAGTCAAAAGTTGTGAATCTATGTGATCAAGAGAAAGGATGAAGTATTAAAAATATTTAAAAGATTCAAGATACTTGTTGTTGTACCCCAAAATTTTTCCTCTCATTTTATCAAGATTTCCCCTCACAAGACTCTTTGGACTCCAGACAGGATTAGGGTTTGCTCTGCTCAAGACATCTCCTTGCACAGTTGACCTGAAATTAGTTTGCACAGAGATTTTTGGACTTCCAATGCTTAATGTGACTTTCATACTTCATGTTGGACTTATAATATTGCTCATACCAAGTTTCAAGCCTTGAATCAAATTTTTGCCCAGTCAATTGGACAGTTGACCTAAAAATCAGCTTTATTGGGGAAAAAGTCAACTATGGCCAATTTACAGTCAAACCTCATAATTTTTTATCCACGTCAACATTATAGACTCATATGAACCATTTGATCAAGTTTGGACCACAACTCCTCAAGAAATTTGATCAGATCTTCAAAAGGGCAAAATGGTCATTTTTAGGTTTTTGACTGCAAAAGGGCAATTTCTGATTTTTCACCTAGCCAATGGCAAATTGGGTTCAAGCATGGATTCAAGAACTCAATGGCATCATCTTGACCTAATCACAAGGTTCAAAAGATCTCAAAAGCATTGGATTGACAGATGAATTTTCCAATCAACTGATCAAAAATCAATTGTACACTGAAAAGTCAAACTTTGACTTTTTGGTCAAAATCAAGTGCCAAGGGTCATTTTTCATCAAGATGTGTCAAAACATGAAACTTGTTCACCAAGAAGCCTAATTTTGAAAATTAGGGTTTAAAATGGAAAATTTTCATAACTTAGAAATTTTCTAAGTTATGAAAATTTCTTATTTTTTCCCAACTTGGACCAACATTTTCACCATGATGCAATTGGATTCAAACAAAACATTCAACATGAAAGTTGTATTCCTTCACAAAATATACAACTTTGATTCACAAAGTTTTCCCAAAAGATGCCTGGATCTCAAGTTATGATTTTGTGAACAAGGGTCCAAAAACTTTCTAACTTAGTGAAATTTTGCCCTAGTTTAGGCAGAATTTTGACCTATCTTCATGGCAATTTTTCACATAGTTCCAAGTGGAATCTCAAAATGCATTTCAAATATGTATTGTAGAGCATGTTACAAGCTTTCCAAAATGTCCAAGAACTCTCCAAGATCATTTGTGGTTATGGAGAATCGAAGGATTGAAATTGGCAAATCATCACTTTTGTCCAAGGCATTTTGCACATTGATACAAGTTGCAAATTATGTCCAACCATGCTTGTACTTGGTTTACAGGTCCTTAAACCCTTCCACACTCATAAATTAAATGCAAACACATTGGTTAGAGGCATTTTTCTAATCTTTGAAGCATTATACAAAGGATTAATCCATTTTTGGCAAAAAGTTAACAATGTCATTTACATAAAGCATGCTTTATGTCAAATTGATTATCTTGAGCCATACACCAAGCCTTTTGCTGCAAACAAAGCTCCCTAATATCAGGCAAAGTTCACCAACTTTGTGCAGCTAGAATACAGACATGTACAACCTTGGCATAGTCACTTCTCACTTTTACTTCAAAAACAAGTCAACTTGCAAAAACTCCACAACTTTGTAATCTGATATAACCAAGTGTTGTATTCATTTCAAACAAGTTTTTTCACATTGCACTAAGCCAGAAACACGAGCTCACCACCTCTCAAACACCCTTGTACACCAAAAACCCCATTTTCTGCCAAAACAGGGCAGGTTCTGCAAATTATAAGCCAAATCAAAATCCACTCGTGCGTTTTGTCCCAAATCAGTTCCAACACACTCCATACAACATACCTAAACTATCCCAACCATTCCCAAGCCACTGTAACTCCATTTACACACTTCACCATTTTCAAATTCTGAGTTTGCAGGTTGAGTTCTAAAAGAAGATTCAGGCAAGTTCAAAGCAAGTTAAGCATTGGGGAAGCTCAAAGGAACTTCAAGCAAGCTCACAAGTATCTCAGGCCTTACTCACAACCCCTACATTGCCATACTCGAGCTTGACTGAAACAGGTATTTCTCAAACTTCTATCTCCTTATTTAGGAATCATTAGGCTTAGGTTTATGAAGAAAAAATGTAGTCCTCATTGTCCTTGAGTTGTACATATGCATAGAATTCATTTATATTAACTGAGCTAGGAGTATTTGATAGTTGAACTTTCTGAAAAAACTAGGTCAAGATTTAGGGCCAAAGAAATTATCTCTGGTCTTTGAGAGTTAGATTAAGTTTTGTATATGGTTAGAATCGTGTGATCAAGAGCTATAACTTTCATGTTGCAAGTTTTTGTTTTTGAGCATGTATACAGGAGTTACCAGTTTGAACACAGGGCGCACGTTTTTCTTGTTCTGGAGGACAGGGATGAAGACAACTTGGGCTGGGCTTGGTTCTTTTGACTATTGACACCCTTTCTTTACTTCTTACACCCCCTTGGCCTATTGTTTTTATTTTTTTATATTTTCCATTTCTATTTTCATTTCTGACTTTTATTTATTTTTTCCAAATATTAAAAATCACCAAAAATATTTTCTTAAATTTTCACATTTTATTTTATTTTTTTATTTTATTTTTTGGCATAATATTTAGTTTATTAGGTTTAATACATTTATTTTCTTAAATAAAAACTTGTAAATATTATAAAAATATTATATATTTTTATTTTTATTATTTATACATATAAAATAATATTTTCTCACATATTTTATTTTTTAATATTTTTATGAATATTTTTTTTGTACATAAATGAATAAATAAATATTTAGAATATTTTCTTCTTAAAACAAAATTAGGGTTTCTTCACCCTTTCCAAAAATAATCATTAATATTTTTAATATTTTTAGGATATTAAATAATTTATTTTACATACATAAAATAAATACAAAAAAAACATTTTTGCATATTTATGTTTAATTGCACATTTAAATATTTGTCAATTTATTACTTGTACAATAAATTCAATATGGTTGTAATAGTTTTAGGGTTTTATTTTGTGCAAAATATCCCTTATCCAAACTTGTATCCCCCTCCCCATATCAATGTTGTAATAG